ATATTTTATGTATTTGTAATATAAAATATACATATTAACACAATTTATGCAAAAAGGGGGAGCTAATTTTATACCTCCCTATGAATAGAAATATAAAAGAGAGGATTTGGAAGGAGAGGCACCAAAATGATAACAGTAGTTACCCCTAGGAGGAGAGACAGAGCAGAAGGAGGCTTTATCTTGTAATGTTTTCCACTTTTGCTACAAGAAAGTACTAATTCTTCTCATGCAATTTGTTTCTTTTTTTTAAAGGCCATACAAGTACAGTGGGGGTTGGCCAGCCCTATAAGTGTGGGAAAAGGAGCCCTGGTTGCACAGTGGTTAAGCACTCAGCTGCTAACCGAAAGGTCAGTGGTTCAAACCCACTAGCCGCTCTGCAGGAGAAAGATGTGGCAGTCTGCTTCCGTAAAGATGACAGCCTTGGAAACCCTATGGGGCAGTTCTGCTCTGTCCAAACTGGAGCCATCCTCACATGTATTAACTCATTGAATCCTCCCCACTACCTGGGCAGGTTAGTCATTTTATTGCCACCAGTTTACAGAGAAGGAAACAGAGACACAGAAGGGTTAGGCTGTACAGCTAGCATATGGCAGAGCTGTGGTTGCAACCCAAGCCAGCCTTGGTGTTGACGTCTGGGAAATGAAATATTTAAACTCTCAGAACATAGGGCTTGCACCTAGTAGGTAGTCAATAAAAAGCATCTGTTGAGTGAATGGAGCACTGGTGGCACAGTGGTAAAGAGCTCAGCTGCTAACTGAAAGGTCAGTGGTTTGCATCCACCAGCCACTTCCTGGAAACCCTGTGGAGCAGTTCTACTCTGTCCTATAGGGTTCCATGAGTCAGAATCGACTTGATGGCAACAGGTTTGATTTTTTGGTTTTGGTTGAATGAATGGACATTTCTGCATAAGAGGGCACTAAAATGTGAGTACCTTAAGAACAGGGAGAGAGCCCTCTGTCTCCAGTGTCAAGGTAAGTGCTCAACAAATGTTTATTGGGTTGGCTGCCTACCCCAACAGAGGGTGGAGGAGGTGCTGGGATTGGTTTTAAGTGATGCCCTTTGAGATCACTCTGTCTCTAATCAGTTACCATCAAGTCAATTCCAACTCATGTGTGTCAGAGTAGAACTGTGCTCCATAGGGTTTTCAATGACAAATTTTTCAGAAGTAGATTGCCAGGTCTTTCTTCCAAGGCACCTCTGGGTGGATATGAACCTCCAACCTTTCTCTTAGCAGCCAAGTACATTAACCATTTGCACCACCCAGGGACTCCATTCTATCTCTATTGGCCTAGAAACCCCTTACCTTGGAGCATGTGATGAATACTAGAGTCCTATTTATTCAAGATTGAATAGATTGAATTTGAAATAGTACTTCATCATAACATTTATAATAAAGTCTCATTTTATATGCAAAATGGAAATGATGTGAATCACCTTGAATTTAAAAAAAAAATTAAGAATTGTATCATTTCAAAGCTGGTGGGCCAATTGTAAGTGTATTTATGCTATTGCCACGTGGGGATGCCATGTTAGCTGGTAACCAGAGGTGTGCCCCATCATTTGTTGGGTCAAGTCTTAAATTAGGCAAATTGTGAATAGTGTGAGTTCAGGAGATCTTGGAAGTCAGGTCCCTTGAATAAAATGCTCCCACCCTATAAAAATAAGACAAGGTACTGCAGTGCTCATGGACTTTGGACTCCAGCAGGGTCTCTTGGAAGTAACATTCAGAGACAAGAAAGCGGAAGAATTTGCAAACCAGTAAATGGCTTCTTGTCGTGATTAAAAGACTATATAAGTAATAAAACCTCATGATCAACAATGAGGTAGACAGATAAAGAAGAAATTATCACAGTCTCACCAAATCAAATGTAACTTTTATGATTTTAGTGATTTTTTTCCTCCTCGTCTTCTCTCTCTCTCTCTTTACACATTGTTCTTTAATGATTAGAGTTATATAGCACACATAATTTGGGAACCGATTTTTAAAATTAATATTATATAAAACATTTTTATATGTTGCTACATAATCTTTGAAACCATAATTTTTCATTAGTAGATAAAATTCTCCCTATTAAAAATGCTGCAGAAAGAAATGGTTAGAGCCTAGATTCTGGACCCTCCTGGGTTCATATCCCAGCTCTGCCATTTACCAGCTGTGTGACTTTTAGTATGTCACTTAACCTCTCTGTACCTCAGTTTCCTCATCTAAAACGTGCGTGATACTAGGGCCTGCCTCATGAGTTGTTAGAAGGATTACGTGATTTGATATATCAAAGTACTTGGAAAGGGGCCTGACACATGCAGTTGTTATCCAAGCATTTGTTAAGTAAATGGTAGCATTTTTCTATCCATGCTACTCCTTTCATTGGCTACTCCTCATCCTTGGAACCAAAAGGAGTAGTCCGTTCTGTTCTGATCTCAGAAGGTCATCACAGCAATTTTAACTACAGTGATGAATCAATCAGCCAAAGACCTTAACTCTGCTTTCTGACAGCATCCCTTCTCTCCCCTACTCTGTACCAAAAGTACCTCTGAGCCCCCTTTGCCAATGAAATCTTCAACCAGCAGTAGGTTAAAGCAGAGACTCTCATGGGGTCAGCATCTTCAGAGGAACCAAGACCTTTCTAGTAGAGGAATTAATTCCCCTTCTAATAACAGAATGGAAGAAAACACAAACTGAAGACCTACTGTGTATCAGGAAGAGGACGCAGTCTTTATATGTTTCATTCAATTCACACAGTCTATTTTGTAAAAATTTGAAGTAGCACTTAGAAATGGGAGACTTCATCTAAAAATCCAGACC